CCCCCATGCTTGTCATGTTGGGGTGTCACCTGGCCCCCAGACACTTCCTGCATCTCCACTCCAGGCTGGGGCCCAGAGCTGGACACAGAAGTACGGCAGGGCCCGTGTCCTGGGGGGCCTTTGGTGCGGTAGACAGGACAGATGGCTCTCAAGTGCAGATGCTGGCTCAGAGGGTGCTGAGGCCATGATGCCCAGCACAGGGTCCCCGTGATACTAAGCTGTGGGGGCTTCCAAGGGGGCTCTCAGTCCAGGACAGGTGGCCCTTCCTTCCTCAGTTCCTTGGACCCCAGTACCGCTATGGAGCTGATGCCATGGTCACCTGGGACCTTGTAAATACGGGTCTGTGGGTCCCACCCACATCCCACGGGATGACCATGGGCCCAGGAGCTCTCAGGGTTTGTGAAGCTCCCGGCTGGCAGTTGGCACACTTACTCGCTGACCACTTGGCTTGTCAGCTCAGCTCCCAAGTTGGGGACTAGAAGCCCTGTCTTCCTGAATCCCCTCCCAACCCAGAGACCCTTCCCACCAGCTCACCTTTCCCTTTGTCTGGCAGTGGTGTTTCTGGCTCACTGTCCCTCCGGGCCTACGTGATCTGGGGAACAAGTGGAGCCTGATGAGCGTTCCTGGTGCCTCCTCCATTTTGCTTTGTTTGCCTGGTTTCCATGAGAGAGAAAGGCCTCAGGCCCCGCGCCTGCCCACTGCAGCCCCCCAGGACAGTCATCTGTGCTCGTTGGTCACTCCTGAGTTGGCTCTTACATCTCTAGTCACCTTTTCTTTAAAATGTGATATTTAAAATCATATTTTCTTCTTTGCTTCTTAAAAAAAAAACAACAAAAAAACACCTTATTTGTCATTAGCACGAGTCTGAGATTCTTCCGTTCCCAAATCCAGAGAGGAATTTCGTCCTTCCAGAAGAAATCATTCAAGAAGTCCGAGAAGGTATGGCTCGGGCAAGGGCAGATTTGGGAATGGAAAAAGGTGGTGGTGTCAGGGTGAAGGTCACGAGCCTCAGAGAGTGAGGGTTACTGGCTGGGTGGTATTCACCCCCCAGGATGGGGTGGTCTGGGGGCCTCCAGGACAGGGGACGACACCTCCCAAGTCAGGAGCAGCCCCTGGCCTGAGCCACCGTGGTCAGGCAGGGCCACGGCGCTCACCACTGCAGGCTCCAGGTCACCATCGGCCATCTCCCCACAGGAAAAGTGATCATCGAGGAGGAAATGAAAGAGGAAATGAAGGAAGATGTGGACCCCCACAATGGGGCTGATGATGGTAAGTGTGGAGCTTGCCCTCCCACTCTAGGCCCCAGGGGCATGGACCCCAGTCCGGCAAGGCCTCCCCATCAAGGGCAATGGAGTCATTCATCTGTCTCAGCAGCTAAGGCAGCTTCCATCTGCTCAGGGAGAGCCTCCCACACAGGGGAGTCACTCTCGGGGCCAACCTAGGGGGGGTGGGGTGCCAGAGGGTGCCCGACTGAATGGGTGGTGGCCTTCTCAGTGCAGGGTGAACCCCAAGAAGCAAAGATGGGCACAGCCATGCAGGCACCCCCAGCTAGGGAGGAGCCTTTTGGGGTCGATGTCCTGTACATAGGTATAGATTTTTGTAACTGAACAGGAAGATGAAATAAAATTTTGGATATTCTGTTTTCAGCCAAATGATTTTGTCTCCCAGTTTTTTCATCTTCAGGAAGCTTGGGGAAAGCAACAGAAAAGTCCAGCAAAGACAAAGAAAAGAACAACTCGGACTTGGGGTCCAAGGAGGGGTCAGACAAGCGGAAGCGCAGCCGGGTCACTGACAAAGTCCTGACCGCCAACAGCAACCCCTCCAGCCCCAGTGCAGCCAAGCGGCGCCGGACGTAGACACTCGCAGCAGGCGGATGCTGTGGTCTCCAGGCAGTCAGCGGGTCAAATGCCACCAGCCCTGCTGCCTGCCCTCGGGTGCCAGAGGCTCCTGAGGTGTCACTCAGACCATCTGGGCTCAGATGGCCCCCAGCTCCCAGGACGGGTCCCGCTCAGATGCTGAGACCCGGGATGTGTGAGCCCAGGCCGCGTCCTCTCTGGACACTCGTGGGTTCCATCGCATTGGCTCAGCGACACCTGGGGCCAAGCGTTGGCATGGGCCTGAGGACCAGGTTGCGTGGGCAGAGAGCGGGCACAGCAAGCAATAAAACATGGACTGCCTCTCTGCTCTGAGAGGCCCGGGTCTTCCCGTTTGTCCGTCTGTCCACCGGTCAAAGGCTCGCTCTCAACTGACTGCAGCCTCAGGGAAGCGTCAGGCCGCAGGCGCCGGTCCTTCCACCACCAGGGAGACTGAGAACTGGGTACTTTGCCTCATTCACCTGTACTGTAATGATGTATATAATTTGGTTGGTATTTCACTATTTAATTTTTAAGAAGCCTATTTTACTAGGGTTTTATATGAAAAAAGTACTGCAGAAGTTGAACTTGTGTTGTATTTTTTCCTGAGATGTTTTGTTTTAATGTAACAGACTACTGAGATACTTTTCACTCAGTTTTTATATGCCAGATACAGAGAATTTGTAGCGGTTATTTTTGTATTCTCAAGAGTCACTGCACTGGCAAACAGACCAAATGAATGAGCAGAGGGAGGCAGGCTGAGGGAGGATGCAGCCTGGACACCAGGCTGACCCAGACACACTTTTGACTGAGGGACATTAAAGCACAAAAAAGCAACTGGAGTTGTGTGATTGTGATACCAAAGTTAACTTTTCTTATAGTAGGAGGTTGTCTTTTTCAAGATTTATAATTGAAGCTAGGCTTTGATGTACTTGGATCACTTGATACAATGAATATACAAACTAGTAACAGGTCTAGAGTGGCTACTTTGTTGCATGTGAGCATCCCTTCAAATAAAAACCGTCAAGAGAGGCACCCAGTCGGAGTGGTGCCTGGTGGGAGTAGTGCTTGCTCCCCACCAGCATGCCAACTGGGGCGGAGCTCAGGCCTCCCAAGTGAGAGAGGAGGTGCTCACCCTCATCCTGACAAACCACAAGGACACTGTGCCACCCATCCCCCCAACATCAGCCACAGGCGGTTGGAAATCCCTGAGCCCATGGGGCTCCGTGGGCTGAGCGGTGGCCTGGTGGGGGTTGGAGGCTGGCACCTGCTGCCCCAGTAGGGCCCGCAGTGCCTGGCACGTAGTGTCTCGTGTCAGGTCTACTGACCCTGAGCAGCCCTGGCCTTCCATCCTGACTGCCCCGTACAGGAAGCTGAAGCAGAAGCTTACACCCCACAGTCAGACCTGGTGCCTAAGGGCCCCGTGGCGTGAGATTCCAGGAGAAGATCACACTTTCAGAGGGGCCTCCTACCACAGGGAAGGGCATCTAGACGGCACCTTGGTGCAATCGAGTGTGGCTGGCACTTGTAAAGCAGAAGCTGGGCCCCATCTGAGAACAAGTCATATGTGTGGCAGGAGGCAGTATGGGAGGCTGTGCTCTGAGTGTCCTCCAGTGCATGCTTATCTGTTTTCTGGTAGAGATGGGGGAGCCTGCCCACCCACCCAAGTGCTCTCAGAGCACCCCAGCAGACAGCAGTGCCTCATCAGAAGGCCCCATCCCTCCAGAAGTCACAGCCAACTGCAAGTCAGCTAAGGAGAAATCCAGGCCTGTGGCCACAGTCTGCAATAGGCCAGCCCTGCACAATGCCTGACAGCCTGCCTATCTGTTGCCTGCTCCTTGGGACACCTACCCTGGCCATCAGTGGCAGAAGCTTTGCAGAAATGCCCAGAACTCCACACTTTTGGGGGAGTCACCACTGTCCTAGAAGGTTGTCCAGGCGAGATGGTACCCAGAGAGGGAACGGAGGTTGGTAAGCCTGCAAGGAGTTCACACACCAGCATGAAGGGTCTTCAGCCGTGCCCATGGCCAAGACTGGCAGGTTCTGTCCGGCTCCGAGCTGTCCCCAGATGCACAGCTCAAGGACTGTCACATCCTTGGGCATATCAACCTGAGGCCTGGCAGCCTGCAGAATTGAGCAGGGCCTCAGTCTCTGTTGACCAGCCCTGAGGGTGACCCCAGGTCATTCCTGCCTCCAGGTGTCTGGGTCTTTACCTGGTGCCTCCAAGTCAGTGATGGCAGCACCTGTGCTGTCTTACAACCATTACCTGCAGCAAAGAGGACAGCAGGTCAGGCCCACAAGGACACTGCACTATGGGACTGTCAGAACTGGAGAGAAACACTCCTAATGGCCTTGAAAAGGCAGACCACCTGGGTGTGAACCTTTGGAGGGGACATGGGGATCTCCATTCCTATTGTCCAGCAAGAGGAGTTCTGCTGTTCACCTGAAGAATCCTGAAAGCAAGTCACTCCTCGGAGGACATCTGATGAAAGTGCTGCCCCAGCCCACACCTGGGGGGCACCTGGGGGTCTCCTAAGGGAGGCATCCTGGGAGACAACTTGGGGGTATTCTCCTAGGGGCACACTTGTGGAGGGACATCTGCTACAGACAAGCTCCAGGGGGCCACCCTTCAAGGGGACATCCTCCCTTAGGTCATCCTTGGGAGGATCATGGTGGAGAGAGGTGCCCTGCAGGGGAGGGTGTTCGGAGGGGAAGGGACGTTCTAGGGGTGCTCTGGGGGACCTCCTCAGGGGGCGGGCTTCCTGTCTACGTTTTTCTGAGAACATGGGGGCGGGGCAGTGGTTCTGGTCCTCCAGGGTGGAGGAGGCCATTCTCCAGGGGAAAGGGGACCTGGGAGCATTCTGAGAGGGTACCCTGGGGAGCACCCCCAAGGGTCCTCTCCAGGGAGAAATCCATACCTACGTGGGCATGGAGGGGGGCAACCTCGGGGGAGAGGGGAGCGTCCTCCGGAGAGGCTTTCTCGGTGTTGGGGGGACAGGCCTCCTCCAGAGGGACATCCTTGGAGGGTACATCCTGCGGACGGTCCTCCTCAGGACTGGGCGGGCCGAGACGACAGCCCCGGGCCCGCCTCCGACCCGCCCCCCGGCCCGCCTCCGGCCCGCCCCCGCGCTTCCTCCCTGTTTCATTTTCGCTTCCGCCGGAGCGGGTCCCGCCGCCACCTGAGCATGGAGGACCCGGACTGCGACTCGACCTGGGACGAGGATGAGGAGGAGGACGGCGAGGGCCCGCGGGCGGAGGCCGGCGAGGATGGCGAGACCGGCGCTCCGGGAAACGCGGAGGCCGAGGAGGACGCGCGGCCCAGCGCGCTCCAGGTGCCGCCCCCGCGCCCTGGGAACCCGGCGCCCCTAGGGAGGCCGCGGCGGCAAAGGGGGGCAAAGTCCTGCTGCTGGCAAGCCGTTCCCCGCCCCGCCGCGGGGCCAGGTGTGCAGGCACCTCCCAGAGACCCGGCTTGGGGCCCGGCTCCCCATCTCCAGCGGTTGCCCCCTTCCCGCCCTGTCCTCCTGCTACTCGCGTCCTGGTCCCCAGGACACGCTGAGGTCCTCCCCGACCCTCTCCCCCGCGCGCTCCCCCACCAGGGCACCTTGCAGGGAATCCAGGGCCACCCTCAGACCCTTGTCCCCAGGGCCAGATCCACGCGGTGACACTTCCTCCAGAGGATGGCCCCAGCACATCCTTGACTCCCCTGTCACATCCCAGCCTCAGGCCCTTGGCTCTGTCCTCTAGACAGACCCAGCCCTCAGCTCTGGCCTTCTTCACCGCCTCTCTCCTGGAGCTGCTGCCTCCACCCTTCCCCAGGCCCCAGAGCCCCTAGCCTGCCCCACCCGGTTGACCCTGACTAGGTGCAGCACCTACCCGCTCTGACCGGGGCTCACCTCATGTCGTCTGGAGGTGGCCTTGGAGGCTACATGTGTGTGGCTTGCCTGAGCCAGAGCAGCTGGCGTGCCCACCGGCTCCTCGTTGTCACCACTGGTTACTTGTCATAACCATGGTTATTCAACATTACCGGCAGTTACTTGCTGGTACTCACTGGGTGTCACAATCCCTGAGTGGATGCCATTGCTCCAGCTGGGGTTCCGGGTGAGAGGGAGGGCTCCAAGTGATAGTTGTCACCACGTGTCCCCCTCCCTCTGGGACCAGGGTATCTTGGCACCGTTTCTGGGGAAGCTTGAGTTTCAGGCTTAGTGGTCTCAGTGATGGATTATCAGTGCTGCAGATGAGCACTCTGGTGTTCAAGTTTCTCTCTGGGTCTTGGAGTGGTCGGTCAGCAAGAGGAACCCCAAGGGGCTCCTGGGCCTGCTGAGAAGGCCGGCGACCTGGGCACATTTCCAGTGTTTCAGGCGGGCATGAGTTCCTAGGGTAGGTAGGCTGGGCAGTGGTCAGGGCCACAGGGCAGGAATCCACCTCTTCCCCCAAGCAGATGCCCCTAAGCTGGACGTGGTGCAGCTTAGATGGGAGGACACCATCCTCACTGTAGCTCCATGGGCCACACTCCTAAAGCAATGCTTCGGCACGTGGACCTTCCTGTGAGATGCCCATGGTCCTCTGACCTCTTTCCTGTCCCTCTGCTGTGGCTTCTCTCCTTCTACAGAGTCCCAATCTCCTCTTCAGTCCCCCATGGGTCCTTCCTGGCTGCCCCACACTGGGTCCCGGTATAGCTTTTTGGTGCTTCCTCCTGGATGCTCATTTGTGCACCTATGGCGCTGGCCCTGCTCTGAGCTGTGCACATGACCAGCATTGGTCAGGGCCTGCCCTCTGGACCAACCCAGGGAGGCTGAGAAATGGATGCTGATGGGGGGGGTGGGCAGGGCAGTTTCTGCTGAGTTCCATTTCCACCCACTGTCCATTGACCTAACTGGCGTCTGGCTGAGAAACCCCTTTCAGAAGCATCTGGGGCTCTTGGTGGCAAGGCCATTGCCTTGGGTATACAGCCCCTTAGGTGTCAGCTTAGAGCGCAGGGCAAGGAGGAAGTGTTGGGGGAGGCGGGGTTCCCAGAGGAGGTCCTGGACTGTGATGCCAGCAAACATGGGAGGAGAAAACGATGCTGGAGTTGGGGGGCATCCCAAGAATGCGCATTGGCCTGGAGTCTGGAGGGCTCACTCTAGCTACTCTGGCCCCTCTGACATTGCTGGCAGCTAGGCACAGTCCTTGCTGCCCTCACCAGGGCAGGGCCTCCCTGGAGTGGGTCCTGCTTGCTGGCTGCCTTGAGAAATGGAGAGGGTCTCCCCACTGGGATCTGATCCATTCTCTCTCCGCAGCTCAAGGTGACAGGGTCCCGAAACTGGCGAGCTGCACGGGACACACACCGGTACCGGCACCACTACCCGGTAGGTATCTGTGCACAGACCTGCCCCCCATACCTACCCCTGTAGCCCACCAGGACTGAATCCTTCCTATAATCACAGGGTGAGAGCACCACACCCTAACTCCCACCACAGCACCCTCACTTTTCACACCATGACAGCGCCAGCTGCCAGCTCATCCATAGGAGGCCCCACCAGCCCATCTCATGGCTTCTGTTTTCCTCAGCCCCTGCCCTCTGCACTTGAGTCTCAGGGAACTGGTGGACTGTTTGGGGTGCAGATGAAGGGGACCTCCCAGCCCTGGCCCACATTGTTGAGAGGGGGATGGTCATCACTGGTGGTCAGAGTGGTCGTCACTGGTGGTGGCTGCTATCTCCTAAGTATGAAGGCTGGTCCTCCCCTGTGGGGTGGGGGACCCAGGCTTGGCACTTGGGGTCTTCACCAGCCCTCAGGATGTCTGGAGGTTCACGGGCCAAGAGCCAACACCTCCCTCCCACCTGCCCCAGAAATGCTTCAGTATGAGGGGTCCTTGGAGGCAGCCTGTTTGGATGACACCTTGTCACCTTTCTCTGACTCCGTAGGATCTGGTAGAAGGAGATGACAATGGTGACATGCTCAACCTGAGTTTCTACAAAAATGAGATTCGGTTCCTGCCTAATGGTGTGTACCTGCCCAGCTGCTGGCAGCTCCATTCTGGGGGTGTTCCTCTCTCCTCTGCCTGTCTGGTCTGCTGTGACATGGTTTGGACCTGTGGCTTTCAGATATATCCCCACAGTGCACCCCACCCCCCACCCCGAAGCTGCTGAGGGACCCAGGGCCCCAACCCTTGGCCTGGACACAGTGGCCACCATGGTCCAAAGGGTCAGGTGATGAATGCTGGTGGCTTTGCAGGCCCACAGTCTCTGTCATGACTACTCGACTCTACCTCCATAGTGAGGAAGCTGCATACATAAACTAATAGGAAGGAATGGTTTTTACCTTTTAAACAGTTGGGGAAGTTTTATGGTACAATAACATTTATGACATGCGAAAATCATATGAGATTCAAATTCCAGTGTCCAGGGTGAGGTTTTATCAGAACCCATCCACATACTTGTTGTCCATGGCTCCTTTGCTGTACACATCAGGGGCCACACAGCCTCAAATATTCCCCTCCAGGCTCTTTGCAGAAAGTGGGGGGTGCCCTGCAGAGACCAGGCTGCAGCGTGGGGCTTGGTGGCAGGCCCTGTGTGAGGGCAGAACTCCAGCTAGCAGTGGTCTGTGGGGTGCAGCAAGGCCCCCCTTCTACAAAGACAGGTGCAGGTGTGGGACCACATGCTCTTCCCTATTGGGGCTTCCTGGGTCCTCTGGCCCACAGTGCCCAGCATGGCCTGCCCACTCCGGTGTGCCCTCTATCAGCCATAAGGGTTCACCTTCCAGATTGCAAAGTGGTGGTCGGCCTAACTTGGGTTAACATCACAGGCGGTGTGCACAACCTGAAGCTGCCAAGCCCCAAGGTCCTCATGAAAGGGGTGGGGGGAGGGGCTTTCGGCAGTCCCCCTGACTTGTCTCTGTGGGGCTCCCAGGCTGTTTCATTGAGGACATTCTTCAGAACTGGAAGGAAGACTATGAACTCCTGGAGGACAATCACTCCTACATCCAGTGGTGAGTGGGCGGGGCTTCTGAGAAGGGGCTTGAGGCCCCGCCCAGACTGGATCCTGGCTCCGCCTCTTCCAGGCTCCGTGCTTACTGAGCAGGCGCACTGCCCTCTGTGCCAGGTGCCTGGCTCTGCAGGCGAGGGCCAGCTAAGGGGAGACCGCTCTGGGTTCTCCAGCTGAGAACAGCCTCTGCTGCTGGGATTTGACCCTGGCTTTGGTGGACAACAAGAGCAGTCAACCAGCTGGCTCGCTGGAGGCCCCCTGAGACTGTCCTGAATCTGTCCGCAGAGCCCCTCTGCCGCAAGGGCCGGTTCTAATGGTGCCTTGAGGTGCCCCCCGGAGGCTGGCCTGCAAATGCAATGTCCTTTAAGGACGGCTTGCAGGAGGCGAGCTCAGGGCACAGGATATCCCTGAGAATAATTCCGCAGCATTAATGGTGGGTGGCAAAGAAAAACGTGAGAATGAAAGGGTGGTAGGGAAGGGGGTCGCTGTCTGGCAGGTGCCCTGCTGATGTGCTGGCAGGCGGGACTCCTGTGGCTGGGCTGTCCTGGGCCCTTATCCTGGACACTCCCCCTGGAGCTCTCCTGTCCTCACCCTTTGACTTTATTGACTGGGGAGAGACCATAGCATGTGTGGCAGGTGAGGTCCAGCCAACCCTGCCAGAATTGAGCAGAGAGCCCTGGGGGTCGTGTGTGCCACTTACCGGGCCTGTGCCATCCCTTCCCTCACAGGCTGTTTCCGCTGAGGGAGCCAGGGGTGAACTGGCATGCCAAGCCCCTCACACTCCGGGAGATCGAGGTGAGCTCTGGAGGTCGAGGTATGGGTCACGGCTAGCCTCACCCGTGTGTTCACGGGTCCATTGAGGAACAGGAGCTGAAGAACTCCTCTGCCCACAGTTTTATTATCTTCCCTCGTAAGTGGTCTTTGCTTCTGGCCCTCAGTGCTCCTTGCAGGCTTCCAGAGAAATCTGACTGTGAGGGTTACTCATGTCCAGGGGTCTAGGGAAGGAGCCATGAGCAGTCAGAGTGACCAGGCTTTGCCTTAGTCAGCCCTGGCTTGGGCTAGATCGATGATGCCTGGAGAGTGGGGAGGGGGCTCCAGGAGCCGGGGAGGCTGAGCAGGTGTGCCCAAGAGACAGGATGGGTGCTTGCAGTCCCATGTCCAGCCCTGGGGTCCCTGAGGTCTTTCCGTAGGTCAGGGAGTTCCTCTCAAGGCTACAGCACATGCCTCAGGCTGGGGAGATCTGGTGCCAGTTCAGAGTCAAGTGAGCAGCCCTGGGCTTCTGTGCCCTGGCCCTTCACCCTGAGGGTCTGAGCCAAGGCTGCAGGTGAATTTGGGCCTGAGGAAGGTGTCCAGCTCTTGGCTGTGTTGCACTGACACTGAGCTCTCTGCCACCCTTGGGGGCTTTTCCAGGCATTTAAGAAGTCTGAGGAGGTCAGGGAGCGGCTGGTCCAGGCCTATGAGCTCATGCTGGGCTTTTTCGGGATCCAGCTCGAGGACCGAGATACCGGCCGGGTGTGCCGAGCACACAACTACCAGAAACGCTTCCAGAACCTCAACTGGTGAGCAGGCCGGGAGCTTAGGGATCTGCACAGCTGGTCTCTGATTGCAGAGGAACATCTCTGGGGAGGGGGCCTGCAAGGTGGGGCCTGAGACTCCCAGCATCCTCTGAGCTTGTGGAGGTGGGGCAATGGCAGGGTGGGGGCAAGAGCAAGGGGTGAGGATGGGACCAGGTGGGGCAGGACTGGGGAGGGAGCAGGGGGAGTAGGGGTGAGTGCCACCTGATTCAGCTGTGGGCTTCTTGACTGTGGCCTGCCACCCATGTAGGCATGGGTTGGGTTGCCAGGGGCTCCGTCACTTTCACTACATCCCTGATTACCCCACCTGGGGGGTGTGGGAGACATCCTCCCCTTGCCCCACTGGGATGCACTGGGTGGAGGGGAGGGGCAGCTCAGGGCACGTGGGTAACACCCCTGCTTCTAGAGGGTCCCCATCTGGTTCATCTCCAGCTGTGCTGGGGGTGGGTGTTCCATGGGACCAAGGGGACAGTCACCCTTCTAGGGAATGCATCACAGTCCTTCCCCGAACATGATCCAGGTCCACAGGCCATCTTCTCAGGGACCTGAGGACAGGGTGGGAATGGGAGCTGACCTGTGGGCCAGAGTGTCTCTACTGGTGGACACCAGCCTCTTGGGGGAGTGGGGGCAGGGTGGAGAAGGGCAGTCTTTGGCCCACCGTGTGCAGCCCCACCAGTGCCTCCTGTCCCCACCAGGCACAGCCACAACAACCTCCGCATCACCCGCATCCTCAAGTCTCTGGGGGAGCTGGGGCTGGCGCACTACCAGGCACCCCTGGCTCGCTTCTTCCTGGAGGAGACTCTGGTGCGGAGGCAGCTGCCGGGCTTGCGGCACAGCGCCCTGGACTACTTCGTGTTCACCGTGCGCTGCCGGCACCAGCGCCGCGAGCTGCTGCACTTCGCCTGGGAGCACTTCCGGCCCCGCTGCAGGTTCGTTTGGGGGCCCCAGGACAAATTGCAGAAGTTCAAGCCATGCTCGCCACCCTGCTCACCACGGCCTGCCTGCCCCAGAGAGGTGAAGGAGGAGGAGACCCCTGGGGAACCCACCCTTGAAGCCGGTACCCAGAGGCACATCTGTGGGCTGGGGAAGGATGAGGAGGCAGGCCCGCTGGCTGAGGGTCCCCAGCTGCCTGGCACAGAGTCTCAAGAGGTCAGAGCCCTGGAGAGGGACCAGGAAGATGAGACCAGCGAGGAACAGGGACCAGAGTCACCAAACCCCAAGGAGAGCAAGAAGAGGAAGCTGGAGGCAAATCTGCGGGAGCGGGCCCTGGGGGAGCCAGGAGCCAGCGCCTCTGAGGTGGAGAAGATCGCCCTGAACCTGGAGGGCTGCGCCCTCAGCCAGGGCAGCCTCAGGGCAGAGACCCAGGAAGTGGTCAGCCAGGCCCCGGAGGAGGCCAAGCAGCCCTGCCCCCAGCTCCGGGGGGCCAAGGTGGCCGATGAGGTGAGGAAGCGAAGGAAGATGGACCAAGGTGCCAGCGCTCACCCAGAGGCAGCAGCCTATGGTGGCACCCTGACACTGGCCACCACTAAGCCCCCTGAGCCATCCGAGTGCTCAGAGGCTGAAGAGGGCACAAATGGGGTCAAAGAGGAAGCAGAAGGCCAGGCAGGGCTGGAGCAGAGTGCCCCTGGGAGCCCAGCCACTGCAGGACCGGAGGTGGAGGAGAGGGCAGAGCCCGCAGAGGAGGGGCCTCGTGCCCATCCCGGAGAGCCTTAGGGAAGGGGACGCCCGTGGGCTTCCTGGCCCTGCCCTGCCACAGGCCTGGGAGCCACGTTGTCAGCTGTTTTCAGTGTCCAGTTCTGTTGGCCTATCCCTGGTGGTCACTGCAGCTGCGAGGAGGCCAGGCCCTGCCCTCTGGGAGGCTGAGGCTTCAGCCGCCTTCCTTCCACCTCACTTCCCACCTCCTCCCTCCTCTGTGCCACCACCTCCCTCCCCACCTTTGTAACTTGGCCTTTTAGGGTCTGGAGGGGTGGGAGGGGGTGCTCATTTTCTTACTCTGGTGCAGAGGCCTTTTCTGAATAAACTCATTTGACTTTGAGTGTTTCGGTATGGATGGCAGCTCGTGGATGGCCAGGGCAGGGGAGGGGCTGGTTTCATGAGTAACTCTGTCTGGACTCATGGTTGCATGTGGCCCAGCTGTGTCACCACTTTGCTGTGGAAGTGCCTGGCGTGCGACCCTGGTGCGGCCCTCCTGAGCGTGTGTGCCCCCCAGCGTACACCCCCCAAAATGCACCCTGATCGCACGGCCACCCAGAGCCTCTGGGGCTGGGCATTGGGTCCCTAGGCTGACTTTTGTCACCGATTCAAGGGTGTGGAGCAGTGTCGGGTGTGCCCTGACTAGGGTTCTGTGATGCACCTCGGAGCACAAGCTCTGTGGTGGTTCCCTGGCTCTGTCCCCTCTGCCCCAGCCCTAGCAGCCATAGCTGCCTCTCAGCCCATAGGTCCTCCACACAGGGACCCTGGGCCCTCCAACCTGGCATGGGAACAGATTGCCTCCCTCCTTCAGCAGCCCCCAACCCACAGGGCATGCTGCCCTCAGCCTGGCTTTGTCCCCTGGCCAGGGCTGATCTCTCCCCTCCCGACGGGTGGAAGTGATGGAGCTCACACCTGAGGGTGGGGGCAGGGGGAGGGAGCCTAGTTCATTCTGTGGGTTGGGAGCTGGGACCTGCTTCCCACTAACATGCTCCCCCGACAGCTCCTGTCCTGTGTGTGGGGGCGGGGGAGATGGACAAACTTAAAGTCACTTGTTGGGGCTAGTGTGGGCCATACAGTGACCGCAGGGGTCAGGGTCCTTATCCAGACCATTATCAGACTCAGGCTCAGATGGAAAAGCTTGAAGTCTAGAGAGAGAAGACCCCTTTAGAGCAACCTTGGGGGAGGGGAGTATCTGTGCCCAGCAGCGGGACCTGGGGATAGGCTGGCAGGCCGCTCAGACCCACCTGAGCTGCAAGCTTCAGGGAGAGTAATGGCCCAAGACAGGTGGGCAGTGACCCCGGACACTGGCTGGTAGATGTGAAGCCGGCCCCCTGGCCTCTCCCCAGGCCACTGTGGCTATTGGGGCTTCAAGACAGGGGCTGCTCTCCAAGGGAGAGTGTTTCCTGGCAGCAGGTGGGAGAGTCTACATAGGGCTAGGATGGGGGAATGGGATTCCAGGCACCCTTCTGGTCCAGCAGGAGCCCTCTGGCGCCCCTGCCGTGTCAGGCATGGAAGTACAGGAGGAAGGGGGGTTGGGCGAGAGGCCGTGTCAGTGGGGATGGGATGGAGTGGCTTGCCCCGCCCCCAGTCCCACAGCCCCACCCTCAGTCTTGTGAGGATGTCCTAGGATGACTCCTGAAAGTGAAGTCACTCAGTCGTGTCCAACTCTCTGCGACCTCATGGACTGTAACATACCAGGCTCCTCTGTCCATAGGATTTTCCAGGCAAGAATACTGGAGTAGGTTGCCATTTCCTTCTCCAGGAGATCTTCTCAACCCAGGGATTGAACTTGGGTCTCCCACATTGCATGCAGATGCTTTATCGTCTGAGCCACTCTAGAAGGCAGGAATTTTGTAGATTCTCTTGTCCCTTCCTGATATAATTGTCCCTGCCTTTAGAGGCAAAGAGAGAAGGGGGAGGCAGAGGATGAGATGGTTAGATAGCATCAACTCAATGGACACGAATTTGAGCAAACTCCAGGAGTTAGTGGAGGACAGAGGAGCCTGGTTGGCTACAGTCCACGGGGTCACAAAGGGTCGCACATAACTTAGCGACCGAACAAAGATTGGAGGGTGTGGCCAAGCCTGATGAGCGGCTCACAGCTGAACCCAATGAGGAAGGGAAGGGAGGCGTCTGCCTCCACGCGCCTCCTCCATGGACTCAGAAGCTCTGACTTGCCTCCTGCAGATATTCTGAAGCCTCATTTCTTAGGGAATTCTAAAGACTCTGATGCCAGGTGGGGGGAAGCTGGGGGTTCTTAGCAATCTTGGCTTTGTAGGTGACCTGGATGTTTGAGTGTCCCCCTGGGGGACATTGAGTGCCCCTGGCCTCAGGTGCTGCCCCTCACCCTTCTGTCCCCATGTGTTTCCAGGTGACGCACAGCTCGCCCAGCTTGTGAGAAAGGAGCAGCCAGCCCCTGTCCACTGTGTTTCTCTCGAGCCTGGGGTCACGGGGGCACTTCCTTTCTCTGTGGGGCCCCCACTTTCCTCTTGGGGTGGCAGTGCTGGGTGACAGTCCGGCCTTTGCCAGTGCTGGTTCAGGTGCATGGACCACTCAGTACAGTTAAAGTTTGGGGTGAGGGCCCCGTTGAGGGGGGGTTCCAGCCTGGCAGGCATGGCCCTGGACTTCTGCTCACGGCAGGGACCGGGGTCCTTGGTGGGCCCTGTCTGGTCCCTGGCACAGATGTGTTCACTCTCTCTGAAGGACTTCCTAGGCCTTGGGCAGCGGGGTCCCTCTCAGGAGGGGGAATTCTCCCTCAGGAGAATGTGACTTGGTCAGCCCCTTGATAGGACCACGACTGCCCCTTCTTCAAAGGAGCCTTCAGCGTGGGGCTCTCCCTCTACACCCTGGTCCAGGACCAAGTGAGAAAAGAGGCTCTTTCTCTTTTGCTGAAAGGTGTGTGTGTGTAACTCACCGGTCCCAGGATAATTTTAACTCAGAGGCTGGCCCCAAAAATGCCACTGGGTTTCTTTTTTCCCTGGCTGGCTCGGCAGGGAGTGGGGCAATGCAGAAGCCCCCGCCCACCCAGGTGGGCTGGCTGAATGGGGGGCTTGTGCAAGGGCCGGCGGGGCGGGAACTGGCGTCTGGCCGGCCCACCACCAGCCCCGCCCGCCGAGCCCAGCTCGAGGCCCCTGCCTCCGCCCGCCAGCTCCTCTCAGAGTGCGAGTGCAGCCATGGCCGGAGCCCCCACCCTGGCCCTGCTGCTGCTGGGGCAGCTGCTGGCCGCCACCGTGACCGAGGCACAGGTGAGCGTGGGACCCGGGGCGCGTAGGGCTTGCCTTTGAATGCAGCTAAGGTAGGGGTCCGTGGCTCTGCGGTCACCTGTTGAGCAGCGCAGCCAGGGAATAAGCTCCCCACTTGCCCCTGTAGCCAGTCTCCCTGAGTCAGTGAGGGAGCCAAGAATTCCAGGGTACTTGGGGATGGCGGGTACAGTCTTGTCACTGAAAACTTTCTGTACCACCTGGGCACAGGCTCACCATCGCCCAGCTGAGCCCCCAAGGAAACCCTGGGGATGAGTTCAGGGACTGCCCTGTCCTCACCCAGCGGGGGTGGTGCCAGAGCTGCATCTCCACCAGAAGCACACAATGTGGCCTTTGTTCCTCCTGGGCCTTGGACGTGGCCCCTCTTGGCCCAGTGAGGTGGCAGGGGATGCTGCGACAGCCTGGGGGTCTGAAGGGGAGTGGGGAGGGGGGTGGTGTAGGCCCCTGCACAGGCCCGAGCTCTTCTCTGGACTGAGAGGAGTGGGTGCTCTGTCAGGCTAACCCCAGGGCCAACTAGGGGAACCCGCAGTGGGAGAGCATGGGGAGCTGCCAACTGATGATGTTTCTCCATTTCAGAAAGTGGGACCTCGAGGCCCGCCCGGTCCCCAAGGGCCACCTGGGAAGCCAGGCAAGGATGGCATTGATGTGAGTTTGGAAGGATGATAGGGAAGCTTCTGTGGGGTTCTCATTCTGGCCCCAAACTCCCTGAGCCCCAGGCCTGATGGAGAGAAAATGAAGTCCACCTCCCAGAGCTGGGGTGATGTTGGGGGTGATGAGCACCCCTGTGAGATGTGAAATGGGACAAATGATTCTTGCTCCTTCTGAGAGTGGACCCCTCAGGGGTTGTCTCCCAAGAACAGGTGGGGGTGGCTGTGAAGTACTCTTTGGGTTGGAAGTGTGGGCCCTGAGGCATGTGTCTCTGGGTCCCTGGAGGGCCCACACTCCTCTTCTCTGGAGGTAAAGGCCCAGGCATAGGGCCTGTCCCCCTAGCAGGGTCTCCGTGGCTACTAGAGGTTGGAGCCAGCCTTGAAGGGGCTGGGGGGCTGTCATTTTCAAGGTGCCCCAGCCTAAGTGTGGCCCTGGCCATGTGGAAGCAGATGAGACCCCACAGCCTGCCCCCAGATCCAGGTGGGGTGAGAGCCCTGGACCCAAAGAGATCCAGCCAGGCCATGAAAGTTAGGGCCCTCCAGGCCTCTCCTCACCAGTGCTTTTCCCCGGTGGAGTCACTCTTGACCAGTCCTCAGCTCCTTGAGTCCCAGGGGCCTGCCCGGCTCTTAATGGCCTGAGTCTCCCTCCTCCCACCCTCTCCAAAGGGCCACTGCAGAGTGCAGCCATGTTGGGCCCTGGACACAGGCAGCCTCCCCTCCTGGTGGGGCTGGGCCCCTTGCACCCCAAGGCTCCGCAGCCAATAGGAGCCAAGCCCCATTGTTCCCTCTAGGGACGTTTCCATGTAATACCTGGCCTGGAAGCTTTGGGTGGTCATCAGAGGGGAGGGGTGCTGGGGTGCCTTCCTCTGTAAGTGGGGGCTGCCACCTCTGACTAGGTTTCAGGCAGGTGGAGGGGTGGGCTTCATGATACCTCCCATCATTTCTGGGGTGTTCTTGTGCCCTCAAAGTGGGCTCAAAAGCCCCAATCTGTCCAGCTAACCCTGCTCCCCACCACCTGCCCTCTCCCCACCACCCACTGCTGTGCCTGCCCCTGGAAGGGAGAGGCCCACTGGTGTGGACAACAGGATGAGGGGCTCCATCTTGTCTTCTGGAGCCTCCTCTGGCCCAGCTCTGCTCCCTGGGGATGCTTGGTCACGTGGGCATGTCCTCTCTCTGCAGGGAGAAGTTGGTCCTCCTGGTCTGCCTGGGCCCGCGGTGAGTGTCCTGGCTGCGGTGTGAGCTGTGTGTGTGGGTGTGGTTGGGGGGAATGGCCTCCTTCTATTCTGGAGGGGAGGGATGGGCCTATAACAGAGGGGGTCATTGACATCCTTTCCCATCATGCTGGGCCCTGGGTCACCAAAGGGGAGGCCTGGGAGAAGGGGCAGAGCAGAAAGGGGTGGGAGGGAAGTAGGTGGGACTTGACGCCTCTCAGGGCA